GCTGTTGAAGATTATCAGAAACATATCGGTGTGGATTATATATGTTACATATTTTGGAGAACATTTAGTGTTCATTGTTTTTTTTTTATAATTAATTAAAAAATCATATTATTTGAGATTATGTGCAGTGCATCAGCAACTAAATATTTATACTAACTGTTGGGCAGAAGTCACTGTTCCATCACTGAATGTAGCAACATACTACACCAGATACACAAACACAACATCTCAGTAACAAAGAACAGCAAATCATGGTCACATTTGATTAAACAGTCTCACAACAGATGACCTTCTATATCACTCTATTAAAGCAATGTGGTTGAATAAGCTTAACCTATCTCACACTGATTTCACAATTTCAAGATGAAAGATAAAGTTGAAAAAGTTAAATATGCAGATACACAATTAAATGCAGACTATTATTCAGTAGCTTTGGATACTTATCTGTTAAGTAAAATTTGCAGTTTTGTGTAGTATGATACTGTACTGCACATGTTTTTTTTGTGTTTTTTTTTCTACTCAAATCAACTCAATTCAGTGCATTCTGAGCCTATAACTCCTGGTAAACTCAAAGGTGCTCAAGATCAGGAACTGCCATACATAATTTGCAGTGTGTATCCACATAAAAACATGTAATTGTTTATATATATATAATTAGTGTAACTTGTGAAATAATCATATTTTAAATTATAATAGCATGAGAATGATTCACTCAAGGTACATATCAATATGTACCTTAAAGTGGTCATGACATTAATATTCCTTGATCTTTTGACATACTGTCATAGTACAATAAAAATGTAATGGTGCATATCAAATATCTTGAGCTGTTTTTCAGGTTTTATTATATTAAGGTACACAGTCATTCCTCACTCTTCATTCAGCTTTTAATGTTTGTTACAGTACAATTATGGAAATTTACCTGCAGTAGAAAAGCCGTAGGTTTAGTAATAATGTCGTACCTGTGAGACAAAAGAAGTGCAGAACGCAGCACTACTTTTTTATACTGTAAGCTAAAACAAATATAAAAACTGCAGTTAGTATTATTATAATTTTTTGTCATTTGTGCAAGAGAATCAACAATCACTATTTTATTGATATTGTCTGATTACTATATAGCATAATTAGTACAGTTTAAACGTTTACAATTGTCCTGGCAGTGAAATATCTTCAAATTAACTTAATTAACTTACCATCATTCAGAACTTACCACAATATGCTGCCTCTTAAATGTCCAGGCATAGATTTAAACCCTCAAAATATTATCCTTTCTTTTACTTTCATTTAGTCATCTGGTCAAGGTGACTCTTTCTTGACTCTTGTCTCTTTCTCGTCTTGTTCTCCCTCTAGTGGTGCAGAGCATCATCATCATCTTCTCACGTGGATCTCAAAGCAGTTGTGTTGTTTGTAGCTCAACACAAACTCACAGCAGCATATGTCAGACATACTGCACTAGTGCTCTTTCTGTGCCGCATGCGTTACATCATTTTTTGTCATTTGTGCAAGAGAATCAACAATCACTATTTTATTGATATTGTCTGATTACTATATAGCATAATTAGTACAGTTTAAACGTTTACAATTGTCCTGGCAGTGAAATATCTTCAAATTAACTTAATTAACTTACCATCATTCAGAACTTACCACAATATGCTGCCTCTTAAATGTCCAGGCATAGATTTAAACCCTCAAAATATTATCCTTTCTTTTACTTTCATTTAGTCATCTGGTCAAGGTGACTCTTTCTTGACTCTTGTCTCTTTCTCGTCTTGTTCTCCCTCTAGTGGTGCAGAGCATCATCATCATCTTCTCACGTGGATCTCAAAGCAGTTGTGTTGTTTGTAGCTCAACACAAACTCACAGCAGCATATGTCAGACATACTGCACTAGTGCTCTTTCTGTGCCGCATGCGTTACATCACTGCACCAAAATATACACTGCAAGACTATTAAAGAAAACATTTTTTTTTACATAAAACATCAAAATTCACTCACACAAAACATTGATTTACCTGTCTGCAAAGATTCACTGAAGAAAATCTTGTTTGCCTTTTACTCCATTCATATGAAAAGCAAACATGCTCCTTCTAGTGGCACATCATCATCACATCAAAGCAGAAGAAAAACTGTTCATGAAGTGATTGTACATAAGTGATACATTTGTTAAAAGAAAGCATTTATCTTATGCTAAAATACAAACGCATGTAATCCCTTTCTAATCCCTCAAAATCCTTCAAAATTATACTCAGAAATCAAAATAGCTTTTAACATGTGAACAGAACGACCAAAACATACATAGATGAGAACATACAACCAAGGATACAAACAGAGGCTATTCACAACCAAAATAGCCTTGTGGGCATCACTTCAATGTTGAGCTTCAGACAATGCAAGTTCGAGTCTGGCTGTAGATACTTTCCTGCTTTCTTATCTCTCCTCCTGCCACCACTACGGGAATCCGATAGACCAAGACGGAGCCGGTGGGATGTGGGAGGGCCACGGTGAAGACGTGGGAGGTGGAGGTTATATTACAGAGGCCAGCTGCAGCTGGCCCTCAGTGGTGAGGATGTGAGCGGGGCTCCATTTCATATTCCACTAGGACTCCCTCTGGGAGGTTACTGGCTCAACAAAGAACATACTGAAAAAAAAACACTGCTATAATAACTTTAGTTTGTATACAAGGAGTAATCAGGGAGAACACATGACACATATACATGCTTTATTTTATTTTTTCATAAAAAAATTTTTTATGATGCCTGTCAGTCAAACTGAACAGAGATGAGATATTTATGAGAAAACCACAAATACAACACACTTAAAAATTAATAGTAATTTTTTTGCAGTATCATGATATAAATCAGGAATCTGTTTTTGGGTGAAAAAAGTAAGAAGAAATATATTTATTAAGCAATTATAACGTGAGTTAAAAATGGTTCACTATTTGTCAGGTATTGTGTTAGTCACCCTTTTTATTCATACAGTTTATCATAACTGCTTATCAATGATGTATAATGCAATTGTAATGAATTATTAGTCATTAATGAACACGTTTATAACTTAAATTGAAATTCTGAATCTTGTTTGTTTCCTTTCTTTAAATTCAGTTAAAATTGACAAAACAACTCATTCTGAGTGATGAACATACATTAAAAAGAATTTGAGAACATTCTCTCTCTTTCCAAAAGGGACTAATTAACAAAACGAGGACAGGAACATGACCAAATAAGGGAACAGAAACAGGGGCAAAACATGACACAGACAGTCCATGATCCTGACATTACGCCCCCTCCCGGAAGGTGCATCCTCACACCGTAGCAACAACAGAGGGAGGCGTGGGTGGGAACTTGGGAGGAGGTTCCGGAGGAGGACGGACACCCGGGAGGGGGCCGGCAGACAGAGACCAGGGGGATGCCGAGGATCCGGGGGGCCAGGGTGGAGCCGAGGGCTCTGGCGACCAAGGCGGAGATCCGGAGATCCGCGGCAAAGCCGGAGTGACTGAGGACCCAGGTGGACCCAGTCCGGGCCTCGGAGGCTGGAGGCGAGGGATTCTCCAGCCACGGCGACGCTGGAGGATGGCAGACCCACGGCGCTCGCACCGTAATGATGGGGGGCTTCGCACCTGGTCTCTACTTCCGGGGCGATCCTCTGCTCAGTCGCTCAGCATTGCGCTGGCTCATAGATCGCGGCGGGAATTGGCTCTCCATCATCCGTGGGCTCGGGCTTTAGCTCCGCACAGCGGGGAGATGGTGGGCTGCGCTCTGGGTCCGGAGTGGATCTGGCGAGATCATCCTCGGGAGTGACGATGAGAGGCGATCCATTTCTCGCCAGTTTGGATGTCTGAGTGTAGGCCTCATAGAGATATTAAAGTTTTAAGTGAAGAAGATTTAGATTTGTACTCATTCAACAATTGTCAGGGGAGCTTCTGTGGAGGATCTGTTCTATGCAAAGTGCTCATCAAATGAATTGAATTGAACTGAATCAAAATTAATGAACACACTGAAAGTACATTATCTGGGTTGTATCAGACTGGACTCTGAGGATAGATATGGGATGAGTTGCTCATTATAAGATTTACAGTAAACACCCTGCAGATTTACAGTGAACAAACCACAGGAACGGTGCATCTGGAGAAAACGGTTTATTCACTTTTGTTTCACATTCAGTACTGAGAAGAAAGGAGGATCTCAGTGACGCTGCATTTCAAAATTCCACACCTATCAAATTATCAGCCCAAAAGCAGAGGGAGGGAAGTTCAGAAAGCAGGAGATTAAGTAATGATAAAAATGAGTTTGAAAAAAATGAATTTGTTGATTAATCTTTTCAATTTCCATGTTCAGTCAGATATTTTCTAACCAACACAAATTCAACAAGTGTTATTATACCAAAACAAAAATTACTGCTTTACAACAGGATCCTGTGATGATAAATTGAGACTCTCTGCACACAACATACAGTTAGGATTAAACAGAAACAGAAACATTACAAACATGATTGAAATGATTGCAGTACATATATGTTATTTATGTATAGGAAGTAATGTGGTAGAGATGAATGACGTACAATACAAATGTATGTTTGCTCTCTTAAATATGCTCTCTTAGTTTAATGAAAAATGACATCTGTTACTAATGTTTGAAGTTACATCTATAATTACACTGTTGATCTTACCCTTATGCCTTTAACCCACCCTTAAACTTAACCATATCACAAAACCTGTCCTTAATCTTACTCGTATTCCACATCAGTAGCAACAAACATGTTTTGCAATACATCATGAACACAATAAGGTTTTATTTATTATTATTATTATTTTTTTTACATATGTAGTAGTTAAAGTCATCTAGTATAAAGTGGGACTGAATATAAATAGCATTTTTACACATTCATGTTTAACAACATGGAATTACTATTTCTGTAGTTAAATTCATACATTTTAAACTTCATACAAATCTTTTCATAAATAGACCTAAACTATGACCATGATTAAGATGGAGGCATAAGTCAGTTGTTTGTCTGTTGTGTAATCTTACACAGTGACATTGAGGAATAAAAAACCTTAAAGCCAGCATAGAGGGGTTCAATGAATGTGGTGTTGAATGTGTGTAAGTGTGTGAGTGTGTGTGTGTCAGAGACGCTGTAGAAGGACAGAGTGCCGGCCGACACGTCCAGATACACTCCTACTCTTTTAGAGGAGGGAGAAGGAGCGGGAATGTTGTTGCTCAGATTGTTGTGCCAGACAACAAATCCATCAACAGTGCAGAAGAGACACCAGGACTTGTTATTGTATCCAAACTTACTAACAGTCCCTTCTTTGCTGACTGTTTTATAGGCCACTGCTACACGAGCCCAGCCAGTCCGCTCAACCTCCCAGTAATGGCGTCCAGTCAGACTCTCTCGACACAGAACCTGAGGAACATCTTTAAATCTGTCTTGATGATCAGTATACAGCTGCTGCTCATCCACAAATTTCACCTCTCCGTTCTCAGACAGAATGAGTTGAGCGTTCGCTGTGTTTGGATCCAGTGTGAGATCACAGAAATCTGAACACAACAGAGACAAAAACAGTTGCATAATTTTGTTCGTTTTCATTAAATATCCAAGAGTGAGTCCAGAGAGAGAACCTACATTCATGTTATTCACATAGAGTGCATTAATATAAAAAGTCAAGTCCAATCCATTTGTATAGTGTTTTCTCAATACATATCCAAATCAGTTTTCAAACGGTACGTCTCAATGTTAGTGCCTTCAGGACATAATGGACAGCTTAAAGGGTTAGTTCACCCAAAAATGAAAATTGCACGTATGACAGTCATCGGAGGTGAGAAAAAAGTATTTATAACATTGTAAATATGGGTATTTTTTTTTACAAAAATGATTGATTCGCTACAGGAGGCCTTTATTCATCCCCCGGAGCCGTGTGAGGCACGTTTTATAATGGATGCGCAGGCTTTATTTGACGTCTTTTGGACTGTTGAAAAAAACACCCGCCTACTCTCATTCTAACGCTTGGAAGAGCAAGGATATTTTTTTATGTAACTCCGATTGGATTCATCTGAAAGAAGAAAGTCATATACACCTAGGATTCCTTGAGGGTGAGTAAAACATGGACTGCTTTTAATTTTTGGGTGAACTAACACTTTAACAGGAAAAAGCTTTAATAAGCTCTTTAATAAGCTCTTCATAATTAATATTTAGTTGTAAACAATTAGAATAAAGTAACTTTAATTAAATGCAACAAACACATATATATATATCTTAAAATTTGTTACATTTTTTATTTTATTTGCTGTTACAGTTTTATTTTCATCAAACACATTTTGACCATTTTAGATTTATGTAACAGAGCAATTCTGCCTATGTTGTACTTTTACTGTAAAATGCTATTAAATTTATAAAAAAACATCAGTAAAGAATATGGTACAACTATATTTTTAATTAGTACATGCAGAGATGAAATTTACCCGAAGAAGAAATTATTATTTTAAATTCTAAGCAATGTTTTTGTCTTGTGCTGCAGACAAGGTTTCTAAACTTGTACCCCACATACTTGAGTTTCTGCAGTGAGCAGTTTGGATCCTTCAGTTCGTCAGAGAGCAGCTTGATTCCTGATTGTCCTGGGTGATTGTAGCTCAGATCCAGCTCTCTCAAGTGTGAGGGGTTTGAGCTCAGAGCTGAAGACAGATAACGACAGCCTTCCTCAGTCACCGTACAGCCTGACAACCTACAAACACACATCAACAGACAAGCATAATCTATGAAGCCCTCAACTCTCAAATACCTGAGGAATCATTGCGTCACAGAAAGACACAAGACATTCATTCTAAAGTGAGTGTAAGCCAAACAGGCTCTTTTAAAATAAAAATTTTTAACTTGACACAGCACATTAAAAACTCAATTCTGAGTGCTGAACTTGCCAATGAACATAGTTTGCACACTTATTATATTAGTATAATCTGCAGACTTTGCAGAAAGATTGGCTTTCTGAGTCGGACATCAAGTATTCAGGCAAACCCCCCATACCTACCTATATATATATATATACATATATATATACAGGGCTGTCCTTAGGGGGGTGCAACTGGTGCGGTCGCACTGGGCACTGTGTTTGAGAGGGCCCCACGGCGAACGGGCCCCCCCTCCCCGGAACGCGATCGCGAACTACCTCGCACCGGGCCCCGCGTCAGCTGAGGACGGCTATTAAAAAAGAAAAACTGAAATATCATATGGTCCTAAGTATTCAGACCCTTTGTTCAGTATTTAGTAGAAGCACCCTTTTGATCTAATACAGCCATGGGTCTTTTTGGGAAAGATGCAACAAGTTTTTCACACCTGGATTTGGGGATCCTCTGCCCTTCCTCCTTGCAGATCCTCTCCAGTTCTGTCAGGTTGGATGTAAACGTTGGTGGACAGCCATTTTTAGGTCTCTCCAGAGATGCTCAATTGGGTTTAAGTCAGGGCTCTGGCTGGGCCATTCAAGAACAGTCACAGAGTTGTTGTGAAGCCACTCCTTCGTTATTTTAGCTGTGTGCTTACACAGCAAAATTCCCCGAGTTAAATCAACTCTGCTCAGAGTACATATTGTCCCAATCTACAGAGTGTTAAAGTAACACTGAATCAGAGTTACCACTGTTGAGGATTATGTGATACGTTTTCATGTCTAAAAGCCTGAGCAGAAGTTGTTCATCTTCAACATCGTTAACAGCGGGTTTTCTTTACTAATGATAAACGTTGGTGGACCGCCATTTTTAGGTCTCTCCAGAGATGCTCAATTTGGTTTAAGTCAGGGCTCTGGCTGGGCCGTTCAAGAACAGTCACAGAGTTGTTGTGAAGGCACTCCTTCGTTATTTTAGCTGTGTGCTTAGGGTCATTGTCTTGTTGGAAGGTAAACCTTCGGGCCAGTCTGAGGTCCTGAGCACTCTGGAGAAGGTTTTCGTCCAGGATATCCCTGTACTTGGCCGCATTCATCTTTCCCTCGATTGCAACCAGTCGTCCTGTCCCTGCAGCTGAAAAACACCCCCACAACATGATGCTGCCACCACCATGCTTCACTGTTGGGACTGTATTGGACAGGTGATGAGCAGTGCCTGGTTTTCTCGACACATACCGCTTAGAATTAAGGCCAAACAGTTCTATCTTGGTCTCATC